GAGCCAACCCAGTTAGGGTTCTTTTATTTTTTTTTAAGGTTTATTTTTTTTAAGATATTTTTATTGATTTCAGAGAGGAAGGGAGAGGGATAGAGAGAGAGAGAAACATCAATGATGAGAGAGAATCATTGATAGGCTGCCTCCTGCACGCCCCCTACTGGGGACCGAGCCCACAACCCAGGCATGTGCCCTTGACTGGAATCAAACCCAGGACCCTTTAGTCTGCAGGCCGACGCTCTATCCATTGAACCAAACCAGCCAGGGCAGAGGAGGTTCTTTTAAATTTTACTAGAGATATCAACTCTTCCTCAAATGAATTAAAGATATTTTATATGAATTTGTGGGTTGTCTTCCAAACCTGTGTATTTTGATTTTTTTAAAACATATTTTTATTGATTTCAGAGAGGAAGGGAGAGGGAGAGATAGAAACACCAATGATGAGAATCATTGATCCGCTGCCTCCTGCACGCCCCCCACTGGGGATCGAGCCTGCAACTCAGGCATGTGTCCTTGACTGGAATTGAACCTGGGACCCTTCAGTCTGCAGGCCGACGCTCTATCCACTGAGCCAAACCGGCTAGGGCTGATTTTTATTACACAGATGAATTTATTTTGTGCAGTGAAATTTACCAATCTTTTATTTTTAGGTCTTTTAGTTTTCATAATACTTTTTGGATTTCTTAACTCTTCTCTAATGTTTATTTGTATAGATATGTTCTGTCAAGTTCTCTCAAAAAACAAACACATATGAACTGGTGATTAAGATTAAAATTGCATTTAATTCATAGATTTGAGAAAGAGAAAAATATCCCCCAACATCGGGAGCTGGCTTTGGTGTTCTGTTGAACACGATAATTCCATAGATTACCAGACAAGGTCATGAGGACCAAAAGAAAAACAAGGTCACTCTGTAATCCTGTGAACATGGACAAAAGCAAAAATTGTCCAAACCACAAAAATGATGAAACATCCCTCTATCTTGGATTATATGTGATTTGCTTCTTTACCAATTATAGCTTTAGCCTCCATCTAGTGAAGATGTTAACATTATTCCATCATAGAAATACTTCCACTTCCTAACAGCATCCAATCCAGAGAAAAGCCCTGCTTCATTAAACCCTCCCCCAAATCACCTAACACAAGCACGGACCCTATAAATCCTTCCTAACACCCACTTGTTGAGATGCCCCACAGCGTAAGAGTAATAAACCCATTCATTCACCTACAGATGTGCTCCTGGTGGTCTTTGGC